AGTCCGGGGTTTCATTTGATGAATTAGTTAGTATTTTAAGAAAGGGATTGGTACTCAGCGGGGAGCAGCGAGGGAGTGGCGCGCGGTCGGCAGCAACCGCTTGTAGCGGTCCGTGTATGGTGGGTCCGGCAGCTCTGAGCAGTCGACCGCACGGCCAAACTCGACCGCAGAGCGACTGCTCCGACCGCTCAGGAACTGCTCGAGAGGTCCGTGTTTTGTGGATATGAATTTAGTATGGAAACTGCAGATCGTCGTGCGGCGACCGCTCTAGAGCAGTCGGTCTCGGCTGCAACATGCGGTCCGTCTATGGCCAGCGTTAGACTTTCCGCGTAGTACGCATGACACGATCATTTCCCATGAGACGTCATCTCCCATGAGACGAAACATTAGAATATCGTAGAACAAATGAGTCACATAACATATTGCTAACATACATTAAACTGCGATATATACATACAATCTACTTCTTTGTACTCAGTCAAGTGCGAATCATATTTCTAAAATACGGTGAAGAAATCCACGAGATTTCTTCTCATTACAATACGACAGTCGTTACATTTGTAATGCTTTATATAATTTAGATAATGCTAGACATCAAAAGTTACATAAATGTTAATGGCCTACAGTTATTTTAAAATGACTAAGCGATTTCCTTATCTCATATGTTTAATTATTAATTTTGGTGTATTATTTTTTTATATACTATTTAAAAAATACGACAGAAACATTTAAATTTATGTCCAACAAATATCAAAACAAATAATTGTAGACCATTGATCGACTATAAAGAAAATTCAATTGACATTGTTTGATTTTTACCGGATTGCGAATTCTCTAAAGAAATTGATTGAACTTCGAATTTCTATAACTATATTAAGAGCACTTTGATATTGCGTGTCAAGCATGAATCTTACCGTTTTTATCATTTAAAAATATAATGGTTTTTCTTTAGACACGAGGAGAGTACCCATCCCTATGCCCTTAGAGATAATGCTCTAATATGGTAACGGCGGTATGCCTTTGCCGGAGATCGGGCGGAACAGAAGGCACTTGTAATCGTCATTACCACCTCACCCGAGAGCATGAAGTTGGTTGATTCACTATCACCATACTAAACCCTAAAATTCCCATTTAAGGGGCCGTTCAAGTATTACGTAAGCACTTTAGGGGAGAAGGGGGTCTGGAATTTTCTTATTTGGTGATTACATCAACGGTAATTATTTCTTTTTTACACATATTACCCACTGCTTGAAAACGAAATGCATTTTCGAGGATTCCTACGAAAATCTAATACGTTTATGTACTATTATATTATATAATTTTTTGAGAGCTTTGCTTACTTTTGCTGACAAGAGGAAGGGGGGATAAATTGCAGTAAATCTGCTCACGTACATGGCCCCTTATTTTTGAAATTGTAAACATTTTTTAGTTAATTTTGAATAGTTTCGCAAACGTCAAGCTTCACACTAGACACTATGACACCAACTGTACAAAATAATAGTGTATATAAAAATATTCTATGTCAAGATATTGAAATGCATAATTGTGAGTCGCTTAGTTGTTTTAATGTGTATTGTATTTTAACGTATGTTTGACGTGTGCGTTTACGATATATATCCAGGATGGTACGAAAATTCAATCCTTATAAAAAAAAATTAAACTTAGCGTTAGACATCTAATGTTTACTATTTACACTTCCCTAGAATCGACCCAGGGTCATAGGGTCACATATCACAAAATTTAATTGCTACTGTGACGTTCGCACATGTTTGCATTGTAATAAAAACTTTGTGACCCACCTTGAACCTTCGAACCGTATTTGCGGCTTCAGTTCAACTAAATCCTATTTTCCTTTTCGGAATAAGTCCTGATACCTGGTTTCTTAACAAAGTTTGATTTATAAAGTACGATAGTGCACAATTGTGTGCATACTATTTCTTCCGATCGATTAAATTGTACATGGATATTAAGAATTTAAAAAAAGTAATCAGGCGAATGTCGGCTTAAGAAATACCTCATTAACTAATTGAACGAAGCATGAAAAAGTGGTCTTTAATACCGGACATTGGGGAATCTTTTCATACCATCACTGTACAAATTATTTGTTTTCCTTGTATTCACGATGAAAGAGATGGACTGCTATGTCAATCTGGTGTTAAAATGGGTCAGATATCCTTTTATCGTTTGTATTATGTAGAAAAGTGTGTAATGTATTTTATTGTTTTGTCAGAGCCTTGAAATTTACATTATAAGCCATCAGGCAGGTCAAAGTCACTGGCTTCTTTAAAATGTCTAAATCGACCTATTTCTAAGAAGATTTCTACGTTAACGAATGAAAAATTATCGCATACTTTTAAAAAAAAAAAAAAATCGCTACTACTACGCTACTTCAAATACGTGGGTAACACTGAAAATGTTTAGAACTGGCCAGTTAGAAATATTGCTAATAAAACTTTTTTTGAATTCCAATATTAGAACTCTTTGGTAACCTAATGTTGTATATTGCATTCATTTGTCAATTGTTTTTGTGAATTGGCGGCAAATCTAAAACTCTTGTTACACGTGAAAAAGAAACCTAACGCGAAAGAATTTCGGTCAATGATTTATTATGACTTTCGCTGTGGGCTTACTCAACAACAAAGCTATGATAGGCTGCGATTAGCATTTCTTAATGAAGCCCCATCTCGTGCCACTATTTACAATTGGTTTAACGAGTTTAAGCGTGGACGTAGCAATCTCAATGATGATCCGCGTGAGGGACGTCCTTTAAAAGCGACTACTGAAGATAATATCAGTTCTGTCCGATGCATGATATTGATATGAGAGTGACATATCAGCAGATACGGGCAAGCCTAGGCATTGGTATGAGTCCAGTTCAAAAAATATTACTCGAACATTAAGACGTCAGGAAGCTTTGTACCAGATGGATTCCCCATACTTTAACCGACGACCAGAACGACCTTCGCATGGACTGGTGTCGCCAAATGTTAGATAAGTTTAACGGCGGTGACTCAAATGCTGTATTTGACATCGTCACAGGTGATGAAAGCTGGATATATTGCTACGAACCCGAAACCAAAAGACAATCAGCTCAGTGGGTGTATCCTTTCTAGGATCGGCCAACTAAGGTAAAGAAAGGAAGATCTGAAGAAAAAAAGATGATTGCCTAATTATTTGGTCGGAGATCATGACTATGGCAGATGTCGAGATACTGATTATTCCTCCATACAGTCCTGACCTGGCACCCTGCGACTTTCATTTATTCCCAAGACCTAAAGATAAAATTCGAGGTATTCGCTTTACGAGCCCTGAAGATGCGGTGAAAGCGTACGAAAATTCCATAGAAGAGACCCCTTACGAAGAATGGGCCCACTGCTTTTCTCAGTGATTCCATCGAATGCGACGATGTGTAGAGAGGAACGGAGATTTCTTCGAAAAACAATAAAAGTATAGGCAACTACTACAACTACATTAAGCACAGTTTTTCATTTTCTTAACATTTTCAGTGTTATCTAGGTACTCTTGACGCGCAACCATCTCACTAATTTATTTTAGGCTACACGCAAAGCCATTATACAAAATGTTCTACTAGAAAACTTGAATTCCTATGTGCTTTGTGAGTTTAATTTTTGTTTGGATACTGTGAAAAGCTCATATGCAAAGCTATATTTATACTTTTTTCAAATCGAGCCAAAATCCAAAACAGACATATTGTAAGATTTTTACTCCTAATCAAGAAGTTGGAGCCAGCGACAATAAAGTACTAATTTGAAATTATCTTGGTCTTTAACTGGTTGCGCATTATTTAATCTAAAAAAATCTTTCCTTCTTTCTATACAGTCAAAACATATGTTTATAATTTGTCATATAAACATTTGTTTTGTTATTAAAATTTTTAACATTTATATAAAGTAAAAGTCCAAATATGGCTTTTGAAAATGAATTTAAAATTTAGTTGTTTTAGCTTATTTTGCGCTAACCAATATCTTGGACGACTGACTTAAATTGTTTGTACACTGTAAGACAATTCAAGTCTTTATACAACCGTTATTGTGGTCACAGAGCTTTGAAGGGGAGTGTTAGAACGTTTTTATAAAATGTTAAAAAAAATATAAATAACTGAAAAAAACAATAATTTAATTCATTTACAATTTTCATCTTTGGTGAATTAGCAACGATAAATTATAAAACTGCGAATTACGTGAAAAAATAAAATACATAAAATAAATTAATGGACATATTAAAAGCGCTTTTATTGCAATGAACAATATTATTTACGTATAGCGAAATCAGAAAGTAATACAAACAAATCATCAAGAATAATTGAAATTAAATTAATAAAACTAAAACTTATTTATAATACTGTTACCACAGCCTGTAAGCCATGAAAAAGATTTCTCTAAGTAAAGACATTTGCGAGTTTTATATTTCATATAAAAACATTTCACAATCCATTGATATCGTTCTAACAGTAACTATAAACGAAAACACGCAAATTGACTAATAATTCCATTATCAAACTTAATTTTTAAAACACGGACGCGATTTTTATTTCATTTGCGTCGAAGTTCATTTACATTTAACGGCAAAAATTAACAGGCCGTTAAATATTCAATAAACTCATAAGTTAATCTAAAAATAACAAACACAATTACTATATTTGAAAAAAAAATATTTAAATCAGTTCTTTCTTGTAATACGTAACTTATATTCGGACAAATATTTAGCGCATAAAATAAATAACTGCAAAACAATTAAGTCATAGAAGTAAGTAAGAAACGATCAACTACAATCTGAGCTACTGATATTTGTTTTTGTGAATTATTTAATTTAATTATTATTTATTTATTACTCAAGTACGTCATAAATTGTAGTCAATATTCAAATAAAAACAGATAAAAAACGCGCCCGTGCTCGCGCATTGCAAGTTAGCTAAGTATGAATGTAATGGACGAATTATATGAGAATGTGATTGATTATTTTAGTTGTGAAAACATAACCTATAGATCAGCAAGTAGTTCAGAGTAGTAGTGCGTTGCGTTGAGGTAGTCCAAGAGACGTCGCGGTAGAGGCAGGCTGGTCACTAAGTCACGACGTACTTGTTTGAGTATCACGAACCTGGAACCGAGAAATTTTAGCTTTAACGTCTATTTAAAATTAAATAACAGATTTATAGTAAAAATAGTCAGATAATCTTGTTCAAAAATTTGTTTTAGTAAACCGTAACGGGAACATGCGTAGCAATTTCCTTGTTAAATGAATGTCATGGCACTGGTAAACACAACGTACAGATTTTTCGTAAAAGTTGTAGAACGAAACAATTGAAATCGCAGACTCAATATTGAATATTTACAATAGCCATCGGAATGAAAATTTAATATTGTACTAGACATTTAATATAACAAAACGTCGAGGGAAAAAGGAAAAGTCAAGATAACGTTACAGAAGTATTATTACATTAATAATTTTTACGAATCTGAATTTGCTTTTGGTATGATGAAAATAAAATAAAATATGTTTATTATGGAACATAAGATACAGGTATCACTTATTCCACGTCATTAAATTTGAATCTGTAGGCATCCCTATTGTAAATTATTATCTTATTAAACAAACGGCCGTTTAAAAAAGTCCAGTTAAAAGCTCCGATAACTTTGGCATTAGTAAATATATTTTCAACATTTAAACAAGGTATAACCTGTTGAAATATTTAAACATGAATACCCCCAACGAAATTGAAAATATTTTAATAACTTTACCATAGTTATTTCATCTGCATTGTCTTTTTAATTCAATACATTTATGAGATTCAAAAATTAAATTAACACGAGAGGCGTCCACTAATTTATACGACAGGAATACAGATTTTAATCAAAAATTTCATAAACTGAAATTATTGGAAAACTGGTTAACTCGTCCGTTTAATAACTTTTTCAAATACGCTTGAAATATGATGTATTGGTAAACAGAATTCTCAGATTTTTTTTGAAAACATTTCAGAACCCGATTAATCTATATCGAATTAATTTAATAATAATGCATTATGTTAGTAAGCTAAGTTTTACATAAGGTTTATATTACAGGGAATGGGGATTGGAGTATAGATATCTTATATTAGGTCCTTACATATGAAATTGGCGTTTTGTATGGGAGGAACAAAAAGTCGAATATTTTTAAATATAATATATTTAATTAATCAAAGTATGAACCATTGTTTTCTATGCACTTTTGCCATCTCATAGGTAGTTCATTGATCCCTTTACTAAAAAAACTAGTCGGACGGGAATCAATAAAATCTGTGAAGACGATTTGAACTGCCCCATCAGAGTTAAATTTTTTCCCTTGCAAGAAGTTATCCAAATTTCGAAAAACATAGTAATCTGTTGGAGCAAGGTCCGGGGAGTACGGAGGATGTCTTAGACATTCCAATTGAAGCTCTTCTAATTTGGTAGCCGTCTGTTGTGCAGTGTGTGGTCTAGCGTTGTCGTGAAGTAGCAGTGGCGTGGAGCGATTGACCAGCCTAGGTTGTTTAGCCGCTAGCTTTTCCATCATGGTTTGCAATTGCTGACAATAGACATCAGCCGTAATAGTCTGGCCAGATTTGAGAAAACTGCAATGAACAATACCGGCACTAGTCCACCAAACGCTTACAGCGTTTGGTGGACTAATGTAACTTTTTGGGGTTAATTTTCGCTTGGGACAGGATTTGGCTGGCTGGCCAGGATCCAACCATTGCGCTGAGCGCTTCTGATTATCGTAAAGAATCCATTTTTCATCACAGGTAATGATTCGGTTTAAAATACCTTCATTATTGTGCCGGTTCAGTAATGTAACGCAGCAGTCGACGCGCGTTTGCCGGTTTGCTTCAGTCAATCTTTCAGGCTTTTTAATCTTCCCAATTTGCTTCAAGTGAATTAAAACAGTTTTATCACTAACACCGCAGCCTGCAGCTAACTCGGACGTGGTTTGCGATGGATCCGCTTCCACAATAGCCTTCAATACTTCATTATCAACTTGGGTCTCAGGCCGTCCACGGGGCTTGTTCTGCAGGTCGTAATTTCCAGAACGAAAACGTTGGAACCAAAAACGAACTGTGTTTTCTTTTGCAACATGACCGCCATACACATCATTCACCCTTCGAGTCGTTTCCGCAGCACTAGTGCCACGGCGGAACTCGTACTCGTAAATAATGCGATACTTTAAGTTTTCCATTTTGTAAAATGAGTGACGCAAACAGAAAAAAACAAATGAATGACGGTCATTGAAGCACAAATACATGAGTAAATAGCTGTACAAATTTGAATTTGGACTTCCTTACCAAAGAGGAGAACATCGTGATTAAAGTGGCCAGTACGAAACACGCCAATTTCATATGTAAGGACCTAATATATTAAATTCTCGTGTCACAATGTTAGTTACCATACTCGTCCGAAACGGCTTGACCGATTTTTATCAAATTTTATATACATATTCAGTAGGTCTGAGAATCGGCTACTATATATCTTTCAACCCCATAAGTGATAAGGGGCGTCCACCCCAAAAAAAATTTTTTTATTCTTTAGAATTTCCTTTTGTTTTTATTTTTTTATGATACAGCATAGAAAAACACATTTAACCCCTAATTTTCACCCCTCTACGATCAACCCCTATTTTTTATTTGTTAATTAAAATATTATGACTCTGAACTCTTTGGTTTATATAGACAAAAATTCACACAAAAACTAAAAAGTTTTCATTCCAGAAAACCGAAGTCTCGGGGTAGCATACCAAAATGTTCCATGTATGGTATAGGTATATATGAATATAGGTATGTACTAAAAAGTAAAATCACATTAAGGAGAAACGAAGTTCGACTGTAAAATAACCCTAAATACACCAATTATGGGATAAATACATTACTATTATAGGCTACTTATACTTTTAACACAATTTCAAATTTAATTCGACTTATGTCTTTTAAGAAAAGAGCATACCAATTTTTAAAAGGCCGGCAACGCACTCGAGCTCTCTGGCATTGAGAATGTCCATGGGCGGGATCACTTAAAATGAGACGAGCCTCTTGCTCCTCTGCACCTTGTTCTATAAAAAAACAAATGCTTTCTATAGAAACATCTACGACTTGTTGCAATTACCACTCGTATTACATTAAACACGGTAAACACGTTCTAATTATAACATAAAAACCAGAGAGAGAGGTTTCGCTGAACTCATACGTCTCTTGTCAAAAACAATTTGACAAAAGAAACGAATTAGTACTTTATTTATTGCCTACTAATGTATATATTAACTAAACTTAAAAATTGTTTATTAGAACTGAAAATATAAAATATATATAGCTTTTAACGCACGACATTCGAGTCGATATGCCAATTTGAAACAATTATTGTTTGTCCAGGTTATGATATAGGTTACGCCACGTGCTTTACCAGAAAGCCGCGAAGGCTGCAAAGTACAGAAAATGACTTGATAATAAACCCTAAGAGTCTGATATGTGTAATCAAGCGAGTTATCAAAACCTTTTGAGAGCAATATCTTAAACATTGTAGGTATAAAAAATACCAACCTGCACATATGCTGTAAGCTCTGGACCCTCTTGAACCTGGATACGGGATACAGCAATTGCACCCTCACGGGTCCCAGTACAGGTCGAAGATTCAAAAAGAACAAGTACCGCCCACTCCTCGATGTCTCCACAGCATTCTCAATAAACTCCACAATTGTTTGAGCTTTGAACATTGTGCATCCGCCAAACGAAAAATTACCTAAAATGTTTTATTTACGGTATTATGATACATTTATCTCAGAATAATTAAATAAAAACCTTGAAAAAAATCAATCGGCTTATAATATTATTCAACCGAAACGAAATGTTTATGAACATTCCACATTTACGACAAATTGTGTTCCTAACATTCTACGAAAAGCTCCGAGGCGTACCTTTAATATCAAAAGCTCATTTTGTTTGAATGCTCTTACAAAGCATTGTAATATACACCTTGAACTTTCAGCACTTATGCGATAAGCATTAAAATACTCTTATTTCGTTCATTTGAACGTCTATTATACTAAAGGCATCCGTCCGGTGTCAGTTACAGACAAGACAGGCGTAATTACGACATTTTCATACAATAAAATATAAAACAATCATATTATAATTGAGAAACAATATCGATAATGAAAAATCTGAGATAATAAAGTCAATTACGCAAAGTGGCTGTGTTATAAAACCCTTGCGCGTAGGATAGCATATTACGTTTAGAATACAAGGAAAAGAAAATCGATGAAAATTTTCATCATCATTAATTTTTCATCCATTTATGAACTCCACGATCTATGTTCCACTTCCCAGATATATTTAATACTGTATGGTATACGGAGTTAATTAAGCTGGAAACTTTGTCTTCAAGCTTGGAATACTGAAATGAGTTACAATATTCAAGCCACGGATGTCACATAATTTGGTCTAAACAACTTTTTCTCTTTAGTTTAATAGTATTCAAATTGACATAGACATAATAAAATATTTAAACTTACAGTTTACAATATTATGTTGATTCAGATTCTATGCAATCGATTCAGAATCTGATTTCCCAATTGAAAAATATGTTTTAAAGTTCTAAATGTTTCTAACAAATATCAATTCAAAATCGCCAAGTCAGATTAAACACGTTGATTTAATAACGCGTCAGTTATTCAAATGTAATTAACGAGTAATAGTTTGACCTAATCAATACACTGTAATGGGGATAAACGTACAAAACGGTGTTTAACTAAAATTCGCAATATTCATAGTCTGCATTATTCGAAAAACGAACTACGTTATTTGTGTTGGCCTAGTGGCTTCAGCGTGCGACTCTCATCTCTGAGGTCGTAGGTTCGATCTCCGGCTGTGCACCAATGGACTTTCTTTCTATGTGCGCATTTAACATTCTTTCAAACGGTGAAGGAAAACTTCGTGAGGAAACCAGCTTGCCTTAGACCCAAAAAGTCGACGGCGTGTGTCAGGCACAGGAGGTTGATCACCTACTTGCCTATTACATTGAAAAATGATTTTGAAACAGATTCAGAAATCTGAGGCACAGACAAAGAGGTGGTAGCGCCACTGTTTATTATTATAAAACGAATGTTATCGATGTATTTGGCCACCCGTCTTTTGTTTAGAAAGACATTTTATTGAAATTAGAAAAATTGAACCCTAGTTTACCAACTCATATTAAAACTACATCTCTAGTTTATGCTGGCAACCCTGACACATCACTGTTTGTAATAGTCTATTGATAAAGATTATCTCAAAAAAAAACTACGTTGACTAAAACCAATATCGTTATTTTTCATTTAAATCATCAATTTTATTCCTCTGAAATATGGTAACGTTTTAAAGCTAGCTTATGCAATTCAAGGAGACTCATTAACAAAACAATAGAAAGAGTTCGAAAGCCCAGGAATGGACTACCTTATTATCGTAATATCACGTTACCAGTCTCGTGTCTATGTCAAGTCGGATAATACTATTGACCAATCACATTCAAACGGGACGCGCTGCCATTTCGTCTTTCACTTTACATCCCCGCATTTTTATTGTGTCACTCAGTTTTATAAATCCAAGACACAATACATTAAGCCACAGCGGTTTCTTCACGATATTCTACGAGTTAGTGTAGCGTTATTGCTTAAATCAAAAGAAACATATAGAACACAACGCGCGACCTAAGAATGTGAGGTACAACAGCTACATATTATCTTTAATGATTACTACAATACCATTTTAAATATGAAATTAAAAGAAACATGAGAAAAGCTCGTGATTATCTTTTATTAAATGTTATTTAATTTCTAGAGACACCTGTCATGTTGCACACTTTGTATAAAAGATATTTTAAAACTAAAATTCTCTTTTAAAAACTCTTCCTCCTGATCTTAAATGTATGGGCTAAACCAAACGTATAAAATAGGTTGTGGCATTTTTTTCTAATTAAAGGATATCGGAACAATATGAATATTAACGTAAATGTACAAGGAAAATGTAAATAATTAATAAACACATTTTTCCATACGAACAAATTGAAGTAAAATGAGTAGATAAATTTAATACCACTGCCAATTCAATCATAGTAGACAAAAAAGGAAGAAATAAAAGATTTAGAGCGTGGTGAAATATGAGGCAAGACCGAACTCGATGGAGACTCACTGTGGACGCCCTCTGCCCCATCTAGGGGTTATAGAACATTAAGTCAAGTAAGTCAAGACAAAAAACGGCAACGCATTGGCGTCCTAGTTCGAAACGATTAGGAGAATACATAGGACCGGGACGTAAAAATTATCACTTGTGTTCTAATCATAATAAATTTAGATTAATAGGATTCGATTGTTATGTGTTTTCGGCTAAGGGCAAAAAGCGTGTAGCAAATCATGTTATTAAATTCCTTCTCTATATAAAATGCAATTATATGGAAAAAAATATATTTATGATGCTACACGGACAAAATCACGACATTGGATATTACTATCGGAAAATACGATAATCGACACACGTTATGAGTTACAATTTTTTTAAGCGTGGCATCGTCGGCGCATAATTCGGTTAAAATTCAAATTTTTATCCCAGCGGCGATATACGATCGAGTAAAAAAACTAAGAAACCTGACGCTTCGCACGTCGCACTGTAATCAACTTGTGTAGTAATTTTACAAAAATAACGAACGTTTTTGACCTCCCTATGTATATTCTACAAGTACTTGTGGATAGTATGGAAATAGAAGATAAAAAATAAGAGATATAAAGATTAAACGAGAAATATACATAATATTTTTAATTGCGTCAAGTTTTTCTTGAAGGTGTAAATTATACGAAACATACATACATAAAAACAATTAAAATTATAAAGATAAAACTATATACAAACAACACAAAAACCCTGTAGCCTTTGTTGTAAATATACAGGGTGGCCAAAAAGTCGTGGATCAAACGCAAATAGGGGATAGATGAGGTCATCAGCGGCAAAAAATTGTTCTACGGGAGGTCTCTAAGGTCAACCCCTGCAGAGTTATGATTTATTTTGGTTTTTATATGAAAATTGACTTTTTTTACTAATTCTTATTAAAATTCGAAAAAAATCTACATCCTGTATCTTTTTCATAATATCCACTAGATTGGTACTGATGAGTTCTTGCGTTAGACATACTATTTATAGTTGTTTATTGAGTGTATTGAAGATAATATTAAGTTATACGATATAAATTTTTTTCAAATCAAAACTTTTTGTTTATTTCGGATCCCACTGTGAAAAAAAATTACTCTACCGAAAAGTGACCCTATATTACAAGTTTTGGCGCATTTAATATGGATTCTGAAAAGGTATTACACATGGCCATAAGTCGCTCTAATATCTTTCTAGGAGGAAAAAACAACAACGATTCGGACTTATGATAGATTATTTACCTACCTGTGACCAGTACTGTGTGAATCGGACTAGATTCAAAGAATTGGACAGATGGCTGGAGGGTTACTTAGGAATTTGTTTAGACGGTACAGATTAAGTATTATGGTCGGAGTCAGGAATTTTGAGCATATTTTATTGTAAAATATTTTGTTTCCTACAAACAACCATTGAGAAATAATTGTTTTAATACAATTATTATTTCACAATCGTTGTTTGTAATTCTTCCTAGAAAGATATAAGAGCGACTCATGACCACGTGTAATACCTTTTCAGAATCCCTATTAAATGCGCCAAAACTTGTAGTACAGGGACACTTTTCGGTGGAGTAATTTTTTTTCACAGTGGGGTCCAAAGTATAGAAAAATTTATGATTTGAAAAAATTTTATATCGTATCACTTAATATTATCTTGAATACACTCACAGTACCAATCTAGTGGATATTATGAGAAAGATACAGGATGTAGATATTTTAGAATTTTAAGAAGAATTAGTAAAAAAAAGTCAATTTTCATATAAAAACCAAAATAAATCATAACTCTGCAGGGGTTGACCTTAGAGACCTCCCGTAGAACAATTTTTTGCCGCTGATGACCTCATCTATCCCCTATTTGCGTTTGATCCACGACTTTTTGGCCACCTTGTATATTATTAATTATATTCCAGAATAGTTCACATACATATACACTATATGTTTATATCGTGCCCACGTTGTAGAATCGTACATAAAATTGTTGGCAACTTAATGTAATTATTTAAAAAAAAATGATTATTAAAATATGAATTTTACATTAACGATATACCAAAAAGTTACTTGATTGAATGAAATGAATATTTAATTTATATCCATTTCTTCTTAGGGACATAGCAACAGAGAGAAGGTAAGGATCCTACCTTAGTTAGTAGAATCTCTGGTTCGAGTCGGAAAGAACAGAGGTCTCCCACTCTGCTTTAGAGAATAGTCAGTGAAACATGGCAACATAATTGCCCATCGGGAGCTTATAGAAGTTAATTTTACAATGTAAAATACAATAGTTTCAACAATTTTACCACAGCTGGATGGATAGTTAATATTCCGTTTGACAAACATAATCTATATGTAAAAAGTTTTGTCGGCGTGGAGTTATATTGCATGGGAGTCCACGAACTAAAAAACACAATGGAAAGTCAAGATAACAATTGTTATGAATTTTCGTGATAGCCCGCATATTCCGATATCTCAATACACGAGCAGGCACAGCGAGAAAAACTCATATATCTCTGGAACCTCATTCGCTATGTTTGTGATCCTGTTAGGGTATTCGATATACAATGTGTTTCGCAGGTATTTTGTAACTTTCTCGGAACACGCCTTTGTTGCCGATATTCGGTATGTGGTAGGTATCAAGGTATGTCACCTGTGATATGAGTTCGGTACAAAGTAAAGGAAATTAAAAGTTTGATGAAAGAGCTTAATCGAGAGTTCAATTAAACTTTTTGACTTCACTGAAAACTCAAATGCCAGACCCATTCTTTGTTAACCATTATCTCGCCGCAGTACATAAAAATATATTGTCAATATTTGCATCAGTATCAAGTGGTTCTTACTAAACTCTCAATATGGTGTGAGTGGAGTAGCTAAGAACTTCGAAACCTTAATAATAATATTAAAGCCTGTTTAATTTCAAATCATGACAAAAAAATGATAATATACAACTTAGATTTTTTACATTTTATACATTATTTTTATTTTGTTATCCTAGTCACCTTCAGTACCGTCGATCGGATCTCCTTCGCGTGTAAAGGCCTCCTCCAGCTTTTTCCAACTGACTCTGTCAATGGCTTTCTTACTCCTTTCACTAACTGCTAACTACGAAACCTTGGGTGTTCAAAATTTGACTCAAGAAGTCCGTTTCCGATGGAAAAACAAACTTAAAGAGGCTTAAGCTCACAATGGGCTATACAGCCATTGATGACGATGCTAGGCAAGATATTAAAGAACGTCTGAAATTATTTATTCGTAAGTAGACGAGGGCATAGAAACTTGTTATAATGGAATATAATACAGTACAATGAAGGGTTGTTTGATCCCTTCGAGCTTCCCACTCATTCGTTATTCCGAGAAAAGCTTCATTCGTTTGTTTCATAAATGATTCATATATAAATTTAATAATACAGAATCAATATGTTTCATATAGAAAACTGTACACTTATCAAGTGTGAAAGTCAATATAAAATAACCTTCCAAAGATTCCAAATAAAGGGCACAGAGCGGGCGCGAAGAACTGGCAAGAAACTCGTCGTCATTCCTATTAATCGTCAAGTTTGTGGTTGGGGAAATTAAAAGGAACTGCAACCATCAACATGCTTCATTTGACATATTAAAACATTAATTGTTGTAAGACCCATCTATTTTGGCGTATGTATACTTAAGTTTGACGTATCTGTCATGTCATGATATGTTGTTTTTTCTTAGAAAGAAGACACAACAAGACGATTCTTAGCTATTAATTGTGAAGACGTGTCAACTTATTTTGGTATCTGCATAATGGGTACTTACTTTCCATTATCGGGAGTTACTTAAATTGTTAAATTAGACAATTTAGGATTATTACATAAAAATAAATGACGTCTGGCGGGATTTTAAAACTGAATGAATTTAATAACGAAGATGCAAAATGAAATTCTTCTAAAACCAAAGGCAACTTACCCTGATCATGTTCTATCCTAACATGACGCAGACCGTTCAGCTTGAACGTCAGCGTGAAGATGTAATGGTCATCGCTGCTGTCCCGAACAATGAATGAACCATCAGGCTCGTTCGAAAGTATCTTCTCCGCGGATTCCACAGATATCGGACCCCAGTACCATCCATACTATAAAATACAAATAAGTAAATAAAACAAGCCACGAAGCGAAGAAAATAAATAAAATGTATAAAAAATTTAATAAATTAAAGCTTCAAAACATCCAACGCGTTTCATATTTTATTTAGATTTCACAGTAAAAACAAAACTAACCACAAACTTTGGTGTGCAACAATACGTACGAACTCGAAACCTCAATATATATTGATTTTATTTAAAGCTTAGGTGTTGCCAATCTAATTTTTGTTATCATCCACGACATATTGATATGCTATGTAAATGCACTGACTGTAAAATATCAGTCCAAAATGAGTTATGCAAATTATTTTGAAGAGCTATAAACAAGAATATTCTTGTTGTCAACTATCTAGTTGCGGCGGTTCAAAAAGTTCTAAGTCATTTCGTTTTACAAGTTAAACGCTGACAGCAAATAACTTTGCGCGACTCGAACAGGAGATATTTCATGAAACTCTCAACTACCAACTGCAAACCATACATACCAATTAAATATTTATGCCCGCATCAAAAGTCTTACAGTGAAGATGAGAGTTCTCGGTAAAATCATTTCAAACGAAGCAAACTTTCCCCACTTATTAATACATAATTCAATTATCTTACATATTTAATTCTGCTTGCATATTTCATTTTATCTCGTTATGTGACTGCATTGCTTGCTCGTCTATATTACAAATAGCTGGATTGTTTTGAGAAATAATAAAGAAAAAAAAAGACTTACATCTTTAACTTTCTGGATGGATGTCGCGAAGTCCATGACAGTGTCATCTTCGTTTGCTGATCGCCTAGAATTGGACGGGTGCGGCGATTGCGGCAGCGGTGGGAGAGCCCTCCTCACGGCCGGTGGAGGCGACCCGCGACCTATCTTCTCCACGCCATCTCCATCGCTGGACCTTCTCCAACGAAACAGATTACAAAAGCTTTGCTTTATATTCATCGAAAGTATCCTAACAGGTGACATTTTCACCTTCGTACCCTGATTCCCTTTCTTTTTCGTATCCAACTCCATGATGCTACATTCCTTCTGATTAATTTCTTTATGCTTTTTGCTCTTCACGTTCATGTCCGCGGTGTTCTTGTTCGTTTTTTTATGGTTGTTGTTCGTCTCAGCTGTTTTTGGTTCATTGCTCTCTTTTAAGAAAACTGCTGTGCTCGACTCTTTTAGTCCTTGCCTTGAATGGACTACGGCCGTAGTTAGTAGCGACCCGTTCTTTTTATTTATTGTGTTCCGGCATTCCGAATCGCTGGAACTCGAGTACAGCGTATGCAAATATTTTCTCATTTCACGTAGTGTTAAATGTAACGAGTCAGTATCTGATTCAGCCAGAATCTTTTTTCTGCATGAGGAACCCGGCAGAGAGTGTCTTTTTGTTTTCGTGTCCTTGCATTTGGTATCTTTTGGCTTATAATTCCTCTCCGTTATCGTATTATTGGTGTTGAGAACCAGCGCTGTGGTCTTACTACGCCTTTTATTGGTTCTCTGTGGTCTTTTGCTTCTGGCCCTGATATTGCCGTGATTGGGTCGAATCATATCAATAGGTACCGCATATATATCGCTGTCGAAGGGAACATTGTACATGTCAGTAATATCAGACGTTTTAGCAGATAAGGTGTCATGGGAAATAGCTTGTGTTATAAAACTTGAGTCGTCAGTTTGAAACTGTGTAATTAGAGAATTATGACTGCTCGATAGTCGAGACGAAAGGGAATTTCTGGAAGAAGGCCTCGTGCCACGGCAAGGACTGAGGTGTAGCAATCTGGGGCTAGCAAACCGATGGTTAAGACATTGACGTCTGTCATACAGTGTTTCCGCCTTAAATTTCCGTGGGTAGATCGGGGAGATATGACCTGCAGGCACTGGTATATTTAAGCTCGAAGTTTTTGGTTTTATAATAGAATCATTAGTACAAATAACAGATGGAGGCACGCACACAGCCAATTTGATTGGGGTCCCAACAAACGTAGTAGTTGTGCATTCTAAGTTCGTTGGGACAGGATTATCCTGAAAAAAAAAACGATGATTAATATTAGATAACAAGACGCTATTCTCTAAGCAGCAGTAAAATGTATGAAAGACAATAAATCAGTTATGTACTGTGGGTTTATTTATTTTAAGTTTGAAATGTGTTTATTGATAAATAATGTTGAGTTAATAAACGGATAGGCATAAACGGCGGTTAATATTTCCAATTATTAACGCATCATTTTGGTAATTAATGAAAAGGGACTAAAGCTCCAAATTTAATTGTTTAAAATTCGTAATAAGCTTCAATTACGTTATTAGCTTTCCAAATTAACCTACGATATTAAGCTATCAAATTTACATTACATTTTGACGCTTTGAATCGTCACCAGACACGAAATTTTAACCGCATGCCTTCATCGGTATTTCAAAATTTGAGACATAAAATTGCGTATTACACATTCCCAAGGGAAACAAAGCGTGAGCACAGTGTTGTATATCGATACATGTCAGTTTATGAAACTCGTCAATTGGAAGGGAGGTAGGACCATCGTAGTTAGGCACATTTACGATTGAGTGACGGGGACTTGATTTAGGGGAACCAGTGAAATGTGCCTTTGAAACTGAATGTCAGACAAAAACTCATAAAAGTTTCGTCTGCAAAACTAATAAAGAACCGGAATTCTAGTTCTTTTGACTTAATAATGCAAGTTGATGAATGCTTTTGATCATTTGACTCGATGTCTGCCCTTGGGTAAATTATACTAAAGCCAGTGGCGATGTGACTTAAGTAATGAATTTTCAGTTCTGTTAGCTTAATTATTCTGCAGGAAAGGGAAAATAATGCCTAGTATGGAGACCGTTGTCAAACAAATTACACGTTTTCTAATAAAATCTTTCTTCATGACCTAACAACAAAGTAGTAGGTACATTCAAACCTTGACTGTGAACCGTGACACTTTCAGAAAAAACAACAAATCAGAAAAAATTTTGATCAAAGTTAAGACAGCGCAACTTACACATTACCACCTGTATTAGAAATATGTTCTCAATTATTCAACTATATTTTGGATTATGCAGAATATCTAACTAGACTTTTATAAAATCTATATATTATATATAAATATCTTCACGATAAAAAGACGTAGGTATCTATGAATTTTCAATTTAGTTCGACTTCACTAAACTGTGGTTTTTGTGCTATTAAAAGGAATTCCTTTGGTTCCAATGTACTTCCCAAATGGTCCCAAACACTTAGAAATGACATAAATTAATTTAGCAAATCGATCCATAAAAATACTCCGACGTCGGCTTCTTCCTTAGAATTCAGTAATATCAAATCAACGATAAAATTACTTTTTATATCTTGATTAAAAGTTGTTACATTTTTTGCAGAAAACAGTAATTACACAATATATTTTTTCGATTAAATAGGGCGCGTTTACACTTCAACTAAAATTAAAATATAAATTTTACAGGACAATTTTAATTTAGCAGCGCGGCGTAAAACACAAAACACATCTTTCTGTCCAACATACAAGCGGTATGGTACCTTTTACTTTGGTAGGTGATCTTTCTACATATTCAGCCGAAATCTATAAACAGTTGATAATTCAAAATCTTCTTCTTGATTAAATCGCACACAACACTTTGTTCCGAATAGCAACATTCCTAATACGATCGCAAGTGGGCATTCCTTACATCTCTCTGAATAAAACATATATTTGTCACTTATATAAGGACAACAACGCAAGCGTCGCATATAACATATATTTACGAACATAGTCGACCCCAGAACAAAAAGAGTGAAATTGCGGTTGTAACACAATTAAAAAGTATAAAAGATAGTGATTGTTATTGTGAAGGCGCTAGTTTGTAAATCAAACATTTTTAGCTAACCGAAACAGAACGTTGAGGTTAGGTTAGTTTTCTATGCATATGCTGTACTAATCTAAAAGTGTAATGAAAACCTTAGTGACGAATGACGGGTACATACTTTTAATTAAAAATCGGGGAAGCCAATTTTATCCACAGAGAATTTTAATGAAATTATCCCGGCTCTAGGTTCCTTTATAAAAAATATACACTCTGAATACATTCGAAACATCGATTCTTCTTTTTTAGTATACAGTATAAAATAAAAAGTATATTTTTTTAATATACATATATATTTATATAGATTAACAAAATAAAACAAAAATCAGATTATCACAAAAAGAGAAATGTATGTATAATAAAATACTTATATAATACATGTAATACCAAAAGACTTTAACATGAATTTTAAAAAGTGAACTATTACTATATGAGATAAATAAAAAATCGTTATTACAACACGAAACAAATGTATCGTTAAAATTGGGACATCATTGTGAACAAACACTTGTCTAGATATATTTTTTATTCAATTGTTTAAATTTGTAAACATAATTATTGTCGTCATCCTATTAAAAAAGTTCCGCTTTTCAACCTGACGTTAGTGTTTCCTTAGTTTTCATTATATTTTCATTTAGAATAGTAATTCATAAATTCTACTATTTAAACCACAGTGGTTTAGTTGTTAACGGACAAGGAGCATGATCCTTCGATTCCCGACAAGACAATAATAATAACGAGTATTTATTTAAGGAAAGAGAAAACGCGTGCATTATTTTATCGAAGACGACCAATTAAGACAGTGAAAGGAACTTGAACAAATACTGGGACTAGGTCCATTCCGACATTCGCGTGGTTTCAAGGCGCATTTCTATCTCTAAAAAGCTCCCCTGAATCTCTAAAATTCAAAACGACTCCCGCTGACGCTATAAAATCATCAATGACGCACCCTAAAATTTGCCTTCGAATTCATATTCAAATAACATTTATTCGTGGTAGGTTTTATATATAATATATATATATAAAATTTACATATACTTATTAAATAAGGTACTAGTAAGTATTATTACAAGATGCTTGTTAAAAGCTCGTTACTCTACATGACATATAATGTATTATGATGAATGCAGTGGGCATAGCGAAATAGGGAAATACATTTTACAATGAAAACAAAACACTTCATACAGAAGGAAACTACAGCAAATCGTAATCTACCCCCAATATTGTATGTATCAATTTCATTCGCATTTATAAGCCGTTGCTTGCAGCGATATTTGCGGTGACGAGCCTTACAAAATACCTATGTTATACTCTAAGCAGCTTTTGTGCGCTCTGAAATCGGATTAAAATACACTATAAATATGTATATTTAATATGCCTTTGTTTGATAAGGTGAAAAACTAAAATAGCATGTTAAAAGAAATGTTAGAACGTATACAATCATGAAATGTAGTTTTCAATGCGAAAGTGCTTTAAAATTTGAACATGGGAAAAAACAAAGGCCCTTAATTTAGATCGTAAACCCCAGTTACTACGGACTAGGGTCGCACCGTCCTATCTAAACGTTTGTTGGTCATCTGTATGTTTACCAAGAGATAATAGTAACACCTGATTAGCTATTACAACCGTAGAAGTCCAAGTCGAGGGAGTAACTTTACTGATTCATATACTCGAGCGATGCTATCGCTGAGTGTTTTCCACAGTAAAGGTCATTTAAAAGGAATATCGATTTATGTTTTAATTTCGTCGGGAGCGGCTTCGTGCTGCCAATTCGTGGGGAAACATATATTTAGTTTTCATTTTATCATTTCTATTTATTGTTACTTATCGTAGAGAGAGCTTTTTTTACACTCCTTAACTACGGTTTTACACTGGATATATAGGTAAAACAAAATTGTTAAACAAGTAAGTTATTAAGATAGTTCAACAAATGAAACATATTGCACCAACAAAGATAGTTGCAAAAGCTTAACCGTAAACTGTTTGAGTTAACTGTAATAGTAATCAAAGTTTGTTCTACAATCCTAATTAAACACGTATACATATTTGTATTTGAAGTACGTACTTCCGCTTTGAAGCATGTTTACTTCACACGATGTGGATAAATTAAAATATTTACACACAAATAAAATATTATATTGAAGTAGGCATCCGCATAACTGATACAAAATGTTCACAAATATTTAACGCATAATGTATTGGGTTCAATTGTCGGACTGTTTCACGGTGGTTGGCATAGAAGGGTTAATTAAACAACATTAAACAGTTTAGAAGTCTTTTGATAGAACTTGGATTTCATTAAAAAAACATACAACTTTCAGTGCTTAACGAAGATTATTCAGTTAGATTGTAATACTAACTTACATCCGATTTGTAAATTTACAATACGTAGATTTGTCTAAAGAGCGCATTTGAGCTGATATTTTTTATAAAATATTCAGCGGCTCGAAACAATTGCGCGTAAATTGCTGTATCAATTAACAACGTATTCGATGGAGTATGAAAATTCATAAAAACGTATTGATTGAATATTTCTAACATAATATACGAAAAAACGTGAGTCAATTTATAATACGAATGTAAGTGATCGGCTTCCCTTACGATATCGTTAACGAGATATTCTTAAAGTGAAATAAAAATCCTTTAGTGCATCACTGTAATGTAATTAAAACGCACCACCCATTTGTCCCACGCACAACACTGCTTTTATCTATTACATCTATACAAAATAATGTATTTATTTTATTTATTAATGCTTCGATGCAATAACATAATTACATAACTACTTGTGGTGACTGGTCGTACTTGAATTCGTGTATTCGGTGATGTTAGTTGTTTCGACTATGGATTTGCGTGTTGTTCCCACGAGAGTGTAAGTGTATGCTCCTATTTCACCATGCCTCCTGCTGATAGAGGACAAATCTTTGTTTGTCATTTATTTTACTATTATTTATTACTTTAGATGTCATGTGGAACATGGTGTAATGGTTGCAGATCCTAACAAACGTTGTGTAAAACAAAAATTTGGCGATTAAAAAGAGTGGCGGAGAGGTTATTGCCAGTTCTTCTCTTCCGTTCTAAGCCCTTGATTTGAGAACTGGCAGTAAAAGCAAAATTAGAAGCATTTAATGAATATTTCTTTTTTTTGACGTTCATAAGTGTGTTACCTACATGAATAAATGATTTTTGATTTTGATTTTAATAAAATTGACAAAATTAAATGAAAAGGAGGGCAACTGGCGGCCTTATCACTTTCGAGCGATCTCTTCCAGGTTACCGCTGTTGAAAAAAATAATTAAAATAGTTAAGGTAAGCAAGAGGTGCAAAATACATAATTCATTTAGATATTTACACAAAACTAATACAGGAACAAAAAAAACTTAACTAAAAAAGGACATATGAAAAATAAAAAGTGCACATGAATAGCGACAATTCTAGACAGACTCATGTCAGTTAGTACAAAGGATACGAAGGATACGATGTGGACAGGTAATGCCAGTATAGATGACGCCACTCACGCATGGAAAGACTTTTGTATGAAATTGTAAAAAATACCCGTTCTGTACTTTAGATTTCCTCGGTTGGTAATAATTTAATTTTAAAAAATATGATTATTTTAACATAATATATTTAATACGGGGTTAAGTATGTTTATAGAAAAAAATATACAGAAAAATATTATTGTGAATGAAATGTTGAAATAAAAATTTATTTCTAAATACTATTTATTGTATCTCGTTGAAGCGACGACGAAAAACGGAGCGATTTGAAAGACAAAGTCCGACTAACAATTTACATGATTTCTAAAACATGAAACATGGAAAAGGTCTTTAAGGACAAAAAATTTCTTAACTTTTTAAACAACTGCAGGTTTAAATCCAATTGAAAACCTCCAATGTCGCCGCCGCGTAACAAAAGCTGTACCCACGCCATGGCCTATGTGCTTACTAAATTTTAAACTGATTGATAGCAATGTTCTCAAATTGAAATAATAAGAAAATTTTATATCCATACTAATTAATCTATCATCTAAATCATTGCTAACAATTTAATAAGAACGGCATTAATATCGTAATAAAACAAAGAAACATTTTTCAATTATTAATTACCTACGTCAATGCTTTTTATTATGTAAATATTTTACTGCAAATAAATTTCATTACAGTACATTATTGATATGCCTTTCCAAGAAGTTCTGATTTAATTTTTCATTTCACGGCTTAATAAAAGATAGATTTTTTGATCATAATAATTAAAATCATATTAATAAGTTGAGGTAGGAACATTTAATATAGTTACAATCAATGTTTTTTTTTTTAATTTTGAAATGACATCTTAAAATAACAGAAAAATTGTTTAATTCAATTGCATTTTTGGTTAAATTAAATTAGCAAAACATGAAATTAGATATAATCTTTTTGTTAATAAACATTACCTAAAAAATTTATAGCAAAATTTTGTAACGGTATTTTAAAATCGATAATATAATTATATTTTTTTAAAATAATATTCTTAAAGCCCGAATTATCAGTTAGAATATTTTAATTAAATTTACAAAAGTACACGCACAGCCTAACGCTCAGCAAACGTACCTGGAATTCCGGGGGCGGTTCAATGGCGGTGACGATGACTTTCCCTGGACCTTTCTTCACCGTATTGAAGAAGTCACCACATATTCGCTCCGAAGCATCCGTCGACTCGCAGAGGGACAGCGATCGCTCGTCGAAGTCGCTCTCTTGCAACTGAAATCGCGAACGACGCATTATTGCGTATTCAACTAGTGCCTGTGCAACGTGGTGCAACGTCGAAGGCTAGCAGAGAAGTGAGGGTTTTAGGTACAACAGGTCGGTAGCGTCTATATAATTGCATTTCCCGGATAGGCAATAGGGAGCTACGGCTTGGCGACCGATAATTGTTTCGTGGAAAAGCTCGTATGCGAAGCTTCCACAAATTATTTGGATATATAATTAATTTAGACTATCATCAAATAATATTAAACGGGAAGGGAAGTCACAATGTAAATACATTATGAGTATTTTAATCATTGCTATGATTTATATCTTTGTCGCGCGTTCTAATTTAATTACGTTTCATAGAACAAATTTAATTACACTTTTAAGCTTGCAAAACACTCAGAAAGAAGACATTTCGAGATTTTGCTAATATTATTTCAAGTAAGATATTTCGTGGTAATCAAATTAAAATGAATAAATAATTTTATTTATAGACTTACTATAGTATTTTTTAACCTCTGATTTTTATGACATTAGACAACTTTTTCAAAATCATTCTTAAACTTCTAGATTAATTTCGCCTACTAATTTGTCATCTAACTTGTATATTTTTAGCGTTGTTTGAGAAAATTTAATCAATGGCTTGCATCACACTTTATCATATATCGTGCAATGTAATTAAGACTTGGTACGGTATAATGGGCTATATAAGGCGGCTTTAATTTTGAACTGTTTAAACTTAAATAATATTTTATGTATGATATTATCTAAGTTTATTATTTACAAACGAAGGTTCCTGCGAAGGCATAATTTAGTTTACATACACGTGAGACTTAGATAAAATATAAAAGGCACTAGTGTTTATTATTGTTTTTTTAACACTGACAAAACATAGAACATTTAATAGTTACTTCAGTTGCGGACTTGCAACTATCTTGCAAGAACTAACTTGAGTTTGATAAGAAAAAAAAGTGTGTGTGTGTCAGCTACGACGCACGATTGGAGTTTACTCCTTACGAACGATAAAATTTCGATAATGTTCTGTGGCTGTCGACCATATTTTCATACTAAAGGTGGTAAGAATATATGTTTTTATAATATAAATGTTTGTAGTAGTAATAAAACGTACCTACATCATCTATGCCCAAATAGGATTTTCTTTCTGTGACCAAAGTTACCTTTATAGTAAGAGAAGAATAAGAATGAACAATCTTTTAAGTTTTAATTTCACTGACCATTACTATTGACAAAACTCTATGGCACGCTAGACAATCTACTTTTATTTTTTACACCTGTCAACACTGACAATGTTGTAACGTGGCTGTCAAAACGTGAATTCAAAATAGAAAAGTCTGTGTAATGTATTCCATCTCATTCTTTTACACGTTCAATCCATTTGACTCTTTCTACATAACGCCTCAACTTTTCGTGTTACACATAACGCCTCAACTTTTCGTGTTACACTTGATTTTACTGCTCATAAAATTTCCGTACCGGGCCTTATAACTCAAATCGTTTCTTAAGGAGTAAACTCCAAAAAATTGTATGAACATTTTATTTATTTGTTTACACTTCGTTAATTTATACTAAAACATACATATAAAAAAAGCCGGTTACATAAATTATTAGGCAACGGGCGGCCTTATCGCTAACAAGCGATTTCTTCCAGGCAACCCTAGTATTGAAAAATAAAAGATATAAACATCTACAGAGGGTAATGAACAAGAAGTGCATAAATAAATAACAAAAGAACATAAAATAACATGTAACATTGTTTTACTTTATTTTAGTTATAGCTAGTATAACTAAAATAAATTAAAACAAAAATTTAAAAGCTAATATTATGGTTAATGAGTGACAATAAATACTGGGTGGCGCAAAAGTACTGGCACTAAAGAAAATTTGTTTATTTTTTTATGACATTTCCTGTCATTCTGTTGTTGAAAATTGTGTAGTGAACAAATGTAAAATACACTGAAAATAACCGTTTTACTCCCCAAGAACGTGGAACCGATTGGTTGTACCGATTGGTCGCACAATCCGACGGTATGCCACACGCCTTGAAGCAACTGGCTCAACATTGGATAGACCTAAGTCTGGGAGACCAAGACCATGAACGGTGGGGAAATCGTCGACAATATTCACGTTGTGTTTTTATCACTGATGAATTATTCCGTAAGAACATTGACACGATTATTCCACGTTCTTGGGAAGTCAAACGGTCCATGTTTATTTTCAGTGTATTTTACACTTGTTCACTACACAATTTTCAACAACAAAATGACAGGAAATGTCATATAAAAGAAATAAACAAATTTACTTTAGTGCTACCCAGTATATATATAAGTAGCAAATTACAAGGCAGATGATAAATGCTCAAACAGAAGATTTTTAAATAAATTAAATACTGAGCGGTAAGAAGTTTCAAAGCAGGATACTTTGCACAGTAAAGGAGTGATAGAATTTTTATTAATTTCAAAGCGAAGCTTCCAATTTCGAGCTTGTTAAAATAAATACTAGCTGCGCCCTGCACCTTCGAAAACCGAGGATGTGATTTAACTACCAGGCGCCACTGGCAGCGTGGTGTATTATTAGGAACGGCACATCACTTGCCAGCGCAAAAATGTTCAGTGATTATTCAATATACAGGAAAAATCTATTTTTTAAACAACACGGCGGTACAAAAATAAACTAACACTGCCTTATTTTCAGTAGCACTTTCCACGTATTAAACTAACATGAACCATTAAATGAAGTTAAGCTTTTGATACAAAGCTTTTCCCGGTACTAACTCGGCTTTTCCCTATAATTTAGTTATAAGGGCAGTAAGCAATTTTATAATAAATAACATGCACGTTATTTAATATTCCGTTAAACGAATGGAAAATGGGCAATTACGTTTTACAATAACCAAATATCTTTTTAATTAATTAATTCTTTAAAGCACTACAGGTTCCCAAAATACAGTTCACACAATATCAGGTTCGTTTGTTATGTAATTGAAATAGTAATTATTTCTTCTTGTCCTATTCATATGTAAATTATGAAACATTACATTTTTTTAATGACGTTCATAAGTGTTCATTTTGTTACTAATATGAATCATATTTTGATTAATGATGTATAATATGGTGGACACAGTATTCGAAATAAAAAATCTTACGCTTAGACATTTTAATATAAATTTCCAACAGAAATCGACTCCTATTTACAGATCGTTGCATCTTTGAGCGATTTCCGAAGATGGAAATGAATATAATACGTGCTTATTACAACAATAAAACGATGCTGAAAAAGGATTTTAAGTTAGAAATGAAATCAATTTAAATCGTTTGCAATCACGATTATTATTATACGCTATTATGAAAGGAATAATTGTTAATGCTCTTATAATAGAAGCAGTAAGCTTTGACTTTATCATTCAATATAAATGTACTATCAATTATAATGATAGTAATAATTCAGTGGCGCTACAACAAATTTGATGCACGCATAGAAAATAAAATGCATTTGTGTAGTGTATTTTTAGAATCATTAAGATCAGATTCTAGTTCTGTTTCTAATCTGATAATCAGTACACTCACGTACAACTGACCATGAGCTAGTCGTAAACGTAGAGTTTTATAAAAAAAAGTACGCGCGTACAAAGTACACATGTCAGAAGTGAAACTTATTTGAAAATTACTTATTGAATAAGCTGCCCAAATCCTATAATTTAACTTTGCCGGTCTTTCAATATTGATGAATGATACTAAGGCTAACTAAAAACCAGAACTAAAATAAGTTGTTGTTACGTATATAGAAATAGCACTGCTAACTGCTAACTTATGTCCACATTTTCTAAAATAGCCAACTGGGTTTTAGTAAAAAAGGTCTTGGTTCTGTGAACTTATAAAAATACAAAACCAACAAAAAATTGGTAATTTAGTTACTTAATAAAATAATAATTGCACTACAATATTATACTAGCACATCTTTATTAACTTTTGGTACACAGACTTCTGTAAGTTTGCGCGATTAGTTTTGTGATGGATTGTACATAAATAGAAATTAGATAACAAGGTTTGAAGCTTGAATGCAACTGCAAAATTTAGTGATTGGCGCGTCAATAACCCTAAGGGTGAGATCTATAGTGCGCACTTAGACTTTGCTCTGACTTAACTATCGAGCTAAGACACAGTCGGTATTTATAGAGCAAACTGCGAATCTCTCCCTAGTGTTGGCTTAGCTTAATCTCAAGTCCACGAAATCGACGACTTACCAAAAACTTTGACTATAAGCCTAACAAAAATAATGGCCCAAAATTTGCTTTACCATCATATCTTTTACTGGACTTTTTATTTTTGTCGGTTTTTAATGAACGGTGTTGCCATTTTGTATCGGAGTTCCATATACTTTGGGAAAAATAGAATTTGAATTCAAAGAAATTATAAATGATCTTGATAAATACCTATGAAATGCATGAAATAAAATAATTACACATTATTATGGTATTTATTGTTGTTTATTTATATTATTTATGTAATTGTTCAAACCCCATTTTTGAGAAATCTTAAAAATAACTGGTGTGATTTTGTATGTCACCTGGCAGCCCTGGCATATTATAGTGACAACGGTATCCGGCTAATAAATAAATTAAAAAAAAAAAAAAAAAAAAAAAAAAAAAAAAAAATAGTGACAACGAAATTCAAACTATAACCTAACCGATGTCTCTCGCTTCACATCTGTTATTTTCGTTTCCCTGAATCTTCTACCATTTATTACCTGACTACCCTAAAAAATTTGAGATAGGAGTGGAACATATGAAATTAAAAAATCTGTTAGAAATAGAATTTCTTCAACAAAAATATAAATTAGTATTAGAAATATGTATTACACTTAAAAAAAGAATCAGAAAATAAATGATTAAAATGAAACAAGTTTTGTTTTGATATTCTTTATTACCAAACAAATTACCTAGTTAAATTGTGCAATCACAGATTGCCGGAATGCTAGACCTGTAGGAGATCTTTCATTGTTTCTGTGTTACT